TATAAAAAACAAATAAATTAAAAATTGGGTTAACGAATTTTTAATTTATTTCACTCATTTTCTTCATTTTTTGATTTATTTTACTCATTTTTTTATTTATTTCAACCATTTATTTATTTATTTAATTTTGGCTAAAACGGCTCTCCATAAGTAAATGGCATCATCGTTTGAAAAACAATTGAGGTAATTTTGAATTTTATGGCAGCAAAACATGACAAAAATGTTGGGTCATGGCCACGAGCATTTCCTGCCCCCTGGAAGTTATACTAGTATTCATATCTACGGCAACGTTTTATAATCAGAACCAGTTTATAAGGACAGTGGCTCATGATCACCCAAGACTGGAAGTAAACAAGGTTAAATATTAAAAGATAAAGCTGTATCATTGTAAATTGAATTTACTGTGTGACAAGTAGCATTAGGAAAACTTCTGCAGGCTGTCTCCAAAAGTTTAAACAATTTGTGGATAAAAAATTAATAAATAAAAAATAAATAACAGGGAATAAGTATAGTCAAGTAAAGACAAACTAAATAAACTTTGGATATATTGTATTTTAACCAAAGAGTGTTACAGTGATATGCAAGATTTTAGAGATTTATCAACTTTAAAATAAAGAGGCATGTGACCTTCAAGGCCTACAAACCAGAAACAAAAGTCATCCTGAAGTTTTCCCTAAACAAACAGCAGCTCCTGCTGATCCTCGGCAGAGTTGTAAAGTAACAAAGTACAAATACTTTGCTACTGTACTTAAGTAGAACTTTGGGGTATCCGTACTTTATTTGAGTAATTATTTTTCAGCCTACATTTTACTTCTACTTCTTACATTTTCACACAATTACCTGTACTTTCTACTCCTTACATATAAAAAAGGCAAGAAGTAGAAAGTCATTACTTTTATTTCCTTTTTGCTTGTTTTCATTGCAGCTTGTTTTTTAAAAAAATAAAAACTATCCATATAAACTGTGCCTCCTAGATAGAGTGAATTTAACTGTGGTTGAATGAGAAGTATAAATAAAGACTTTTTACTCAAGTAATATTCCTAAAGGAGACTTTAACTTTTACCAAAGTATTTTTGGTAAAATACTTGTACTTTTACTCTAGTAATATTCCTAAAGGAGACTTTAACTTTTACCAAAGTAATTTTTTTGGTAAGATACTTGTACTTTTACTCAAGTATCACTTTGTGGTACTTTATACAACACTGGTCGGTGGAAGGTGATGGGAGAGAAACTCCCGTTTTGTCCCGTCGCCCAACAGCAAACAGAAAAAAATTTAAATCTCTCATCTTAGGCCCGGACCGAGCCAGAACCTTCCCTGGCCTTTGATCAGGAGCCTGCAGCCACGCAGACCAGCCGCAAGTTGATCCCTTAAGCTTCTTCCTGAATTATTGATTTAATGTAGTAGAGCGCTTAAACTGGGCGCCTGCAGCGGAGCTGCATGAATTCGTAAACAGCAAACGTTCTCTGAGGAGCGATCGATCGTCTGGGATTAAAACCCCCCTCGCCAACTTAAATCTCAGCATCAAGACAGGAAGGGAAAGTTCCAACTTCGAATTAAACGTGACAAAGAGAAACACAAAACCTTTTGTGAAAATTAGAAATGACTCATTGTGATGATACAAGATCACTCAATAATAAAAAGTCCAGGCTGCAGAAACAACTCAATGTTTTAGCAACACTGAGGAACACCTTGTTATTCCAGACAGTGAAGTCAACTTTCGGTGCACAGTTGATGCAACACTGCACCTTTCCAGGTGGCTGAAGGAGACTTGTATTACAAGTCAAACCACCCTCAAGATCAGAACTGAGATCAGAACTTTTCTGAAAGTTTGCACAAACGCTAATATGTACAGATGCTACCAAGCTCGTAATTCTGTTTACAAAAGCCAGAAATGTTGCATCTTAGGCTACGTTCACACTGCAGGTCTTAATGCTCAGTTCCGATTTTTTGAAAAAAATCTGATCTTTTGGTGTGAACGTTCACGTTACATTTTAAATGCGACCTGCATCAGACCCCTGTGTGAACGCTCCACAGCACTGATGTGACACGCAATAAAAGACGTGACGTCTCATCAGCCGGCTTGTTTGTTTACAGAGCTAGCATGGATGCTACATTTTGTACATCGAATCGGAAGTTGTTGTTAATCAGAACCGATTAAATATTTATCTGACCTGCTTGTTTAGTTCAGTGTTTATATCTGAAGCTGCCTCTGACCGGGATGCTCCAGTGAAGCTTTTTTTTTTTTTAACGAAACTACGAGCTGGAAAAAAGTATCGACCGAGTAGCTAACTGTAGGATCGATACTCTCCACGACCCAGGCTGGACATGTTATTATCATACTATCTACGTGGAAAATGTAAAGTAAAAAGATGAAGCAACTGGACTTGTGTTTTGGAGCTGTAAACACATGGAGCTACAGATTTAAACAGCGAGACTTGAGGTTAGTGTCTTATCGATCCTTCAGCCCCTCCTCCTGATGAAAAAGTCAGATGAATGTGACATGAGCGTTCACACTGCAGTCACTTTGAAAACATCAGATATATATCCGATTTAAAACCACATATTGAAACGGCCTGGGTCGGATTTGAAAAAATCTGATTTGTCTCGTTCAGACTGTCATAAAAAAATCGGATTTGGGTCGGATTTGCCTGCAGTGTGAACGTAGCCTTAGTAAAAAAGTGAAATTCATATGGAAAGACCTGAAAAAAGCTCCACTTTCACTCCCTGAACAGACAGAAACTTACTAAAATAATGATGAAAACAGGTGAAAATTGAGGCCTTAAACATTTTTAATAAAATCACCCAATGCTGAGAGGGAGGGGGGCAGTTCTGGTAAATGATGTTATGTAAACATCTCCTGCCATATTGCAAGAAGAAGCATCAGGATGACTGTCGGCTACTACCAAGCCAAGTTTTAGCTCCATATCTGGAAAAATGGCTGAGTTTTAGCCTTTTTTTTTGTTCCACTCAAAAATTCCTTAATGGAACAAAATGTAAATTATTTTGCTAACAGATGCCATTAATGGCTAATTTTAAAATTAAAACGTGGTGTGATGTGTATGTGTTGGGGATGACTCACAACCACTACCACGCCCAACTGTAACTCGATGTGTGTAAAGTTGTTTAAATTTCAGACTTTTTTTTTTTTTTTTTTTTGGTTGTTTAGCTGTGGCGGCCATCTTGAATGACTATAAGTTCAGCAGTTGAAGAGGTTACATCCAGTGGTTTCTTACTAGATTCAGTAACATTCGTCCACTTGATCATGGGAGATAAAACACACAGAGACGTGGGGGAAAACATGATGATCGCCCCCCATGGCGGGCTATAAGAGGTGGTCCACCTTTAAACTAGGGGGAAAGCCTCGCGCTCAAAACGATAAATCTGGCTTATTTTAGCGGTTAAGCTAAAAGTGGAGGTTCCTGGTTGAACCTGGAGCTTCGTGGTAGCTGTAAAACCAGCCTTAACTAACAAAATAAATAAAATAAAAAAGTCAAACTCCACATATTTCCTGGAGAGGCGCCGTATTTCAGCCGCCCCTTCCTCTCTTCCTCTACAGCCCGACACCGGTTTTCAGTGGCGGGCAGCACATGCTGCGGCTCGTGGAGGCGATAAAGTCAAACGTGTACGTACCCTCCAAGTAATAAATGAACCAGGTCGACCAGTCGTGTTTCCCTCCCCAGACGGCTGGTGAAGTTGGGAGTCTCTGCTGAGCGGCGGAGTACCACCGAGGACCGCTACGAGCCAAAAGAGTGGATGGGAGCAGCTAGCAGAAATAATGAAGCGCCGTGACGACAGCGGGCTCCACCAAAGATTTACTCAAAGCGAAGAGGTCTCACTCCGAACTTAATTTACGCTCGTGAGTTCCCTAAATCAGTAGTTCCCAAACTTTTTGTCTTCTGACCCACAAAATATCCATGGCAAAAACTTGTGACCCCAAATGTTACTGGTCTGAGTACATAAACTTTGTTAATAACCCTAAAAACACAGGCTTTTTGACAATCTAAACAGCTTGTACACAAATATAAATACTTATTTATACGTTTTTGTGTTTCTGTAATAATTATAGGGAAAATATTACATCAGCAATTATTTTATTACCCTTTAAATTGATTTCTGGAGATTATCCAAGGTGCTTCATGACCCATAATTGGGTCCCAAGCCCAACTTTGGGAACCAAAGTGCACTGGTTCCCAAACTTTTCAGCTTTTGACCCACAAAATAACAGTAGCAGAGACCTGTTCCCCCAACTGTTTCTGGATGATAAACATTTGTATCAGGTCAACCAATCATGGGCATGGTAACAATATTTAATTATTATTATTATTATTTAATTATTATAATTATTCTACATTTATCCATTTTAAATATACTAACCTCACTCCTTTGTAACAACTAAGGCAAAAATGTAATTAATTCAGAAAATCTTTTCAGGTCCCCACGTTGATGTTTCGGGACCCCACTTTGGGTCCTGGCCCCAACTTTGGGAAACACTGCCCTAAAACAATAGCTACTTGTTATTGTGAGGTGGTGGCAGTGTTGCCAGACAGGGTTTTTGCAATAAATAAAAGCAAAATTTACAATATTATTGGTATTGCCATGCACTTATATATAAATATATGCTTATTGTCTGAAAGTATTATCCAAGTGCAGTTATCCAGGTGAGACTTCGTAAAGCTACTGCTCCTCCTCATCAAAAGGAGCCAGTTGAGGTGGTTTGGACTTCTGGTAAGGATGCCTCTTGGATGCTGTTCTGGACATGTATGATAGCCCACTTTGTAGTTTTTGCGCAGATACACAAATAGCAGAGCTTTAGCTGGAAATGCTGTTTGAATTTAGCAAATTTAACAAGCTCAAAAAGCCTTCATAACTTAAAAAATATATATATAAAACTGCATCTATGATCTTAAAGAAAAGTTTAACACATAATCACTTGGAGCACAAACATTGGATCTGTATGACAGCATCAGTTTACTGGTTGAATTTGTATTGGTTACAATGGTGTTGTCATATGTGGGATAAAGGAAATTATATAAGAACATGAGAGTGAGTTGTTTTAAATAATCTTATATGTTAGAAGTTTACCTATAGTTTGCTTGCAGTGTTTAAACAAGGTATTTAGTTAACTTTTGTCATTTGATCATCAGTAGTTAGTAAGAAAACACAGTTTTTGTTATTGCTATGATAATTAAAGTAAAACCTGATGAAAACAGGTGTGTTGTCACTCTGAGGTGTTTACAAAGAGCCAGCACTGTGAGATCATTATAAATATCCTTGAGGCTGTGTCTCACCAGTGCATCCTGTCCATGTAAGGTAGGAAGGTTCCAGGAAGGACCAGCAGGATTCTTATACTCAGATGTCAGCCCTCAGTCCTCACACAGAGCTTGGAGACGCTGCACACACATCTTATCTGTAGCCAGGTGATGTGAAATAGCTTAAATTGCTCAGACCGTCTCATTGAGAGCTCTCTTATTACTGTAAAATTGTCCTACTATGTGTGGTGTGTAATAAATTTGCATTTATTCTGATACTTTCTAGCAGTTTTTCTTAATCCAACGAATCCGGTGAGGGGATCCAGGATACAGGATTAAGTTTCAGAGGGATCTCTTCTACACATATCATTCTCATAGCTTCTTCCCTTTTGTTATTGTTTAAGAAAATGGATTGGCACAATAAATTTAAAAACCAATCCATTTTCAATAAATAAAGTAATTTGATTTAACCCGGAAGTTATAAACAACCCATTTTACATACATTTAGTTTGTCCAAAGCTGCAACATTTACAGCTAAAAATAGAAATAACACAACTCGTTCTGTGTCTCTAGAAATCCTATTTGCAGTTTATCACATTATACAATTAAAATAAACTTTGATATTTATTGATATGGTTACAGACTAAGGCAAAAAGAAAGACCAAACTGGAAATAAATGTCTTTTGGCAAAAATGTAAACACTAAAACACTATATGAGTGCTTTTTCGTGTCGCAATTTGACATAAAACAGCATATCTATAGAGAAAACTAAAATTATAACACTTCGATATATTTCACTCTCACGAAACTGACATGTTAACCTGGATTTTTATTTTTATTTTTGCCGTTTCAGTGAATACAAAAAATTATTCTAATTAATGAAAAACCGTTTCAGCTTGAAGCAGAATTATTTTCTTTACCTGCCCACAAAACATCAGACTTTGATATTATATTTCACTATTTTTAGTTATTATCAAGGACAGATAACAGAAGTTTTCTATGAAAGGCAAAAAGACTGAAAAACATCATTTTTGAAAACTGCAATTATAATTTCTGACCACAAGGTGAGGCTCAATTGATGTTAAAATGTTAAAAATACACTAAATGCAAGCTTTTCAGGGACTTGTCTGTAACACATATAAATAAAAGCAACACAAAGTTAGATTTTGTCATTAAGTTCTTAAGTCAGACTTTTATTTGTGCAGGGGTCACTTCGAGTGAAGAAACAAGATTTACTGCCTTGAAGCAGGCCTCGCACAGGCCTGATGAGAAGACAGGAACTCTGTCACAAACTGAACTCTATTTAGGCCATGACAGGTCATTTCAAATCAGGAGAGAACTCCTTGGTTCTCTTAATCAGATAATGGACAGAACAATCTCTTCTGTTCGTGATTCATTTGTTGTTTAACTAAGAATGTTTATGCATTTGCTAAATCATGATAATGACTGTCACAAGAAAGTGGAACCACTTCTACTCTTTTATCGTGCCTAAAAGATTAATTAATGGTATAAAAAATCACAGAGAAAATCATTACCATGTTTTCGTTGTGTTTTTATATAAATCACTGTTTTTATTTTACTGGGAACACAGTACTATAATTGTGGATTTTTCTTGAGAAAATCTTTCATTTATCTGGACTAACAGAATGGTTCAGACTGATCATAAAACAGAAATGTTAATTAATCATCATAAATGTTTTGCAGTGATTTCTCTTAGAGTCTATCTGGAGAAAAGCTAAAGAAATGTTATCATATTCTGTTGTTGAACAACCACAGAATTTAACCTTGACTGGCGCCTGGCTGGCAAGTCTTTATCTATCTTCCTTTTTCTGATTCATCTTAACGCCTGAGGGCGGAACCAAAGTCGTCCGCTTCTATTACTAACACGAACGCCTTTGAGTGACACACCACACTTCTTCCTGGATGCCAAACTTGGAAGGAAAGCTGAGTTTCTCTCCGGAGAAGCCAGTTTGGCTCGTTTGGTCTTGCCCATGAGCCAACTAGGGAAGATCTAACGGCCGGGACTCGGCACACCAGCCGGATGTCCCACCCGAGGCTCCTCGCCTCCAATGTGTGTTTTAACTCCCGAGGGGAGATTTTATTTTGAAAGAAGGCACCGGATGTACAGCTTGAATCTTTCTGGCTTGGACTGAAACAGACAAAAAGTTACCTGAAGTAACACCTTTTCGCCGAGGAACAGTGAGCGAGCCAATCAAAAAGTTCCCTGACTGATCGGAGGTGAGACAGTGTCTACCCAGGGGTCGCTTAAGAAGCCATCACCAGGTAAAACTGATGTGTTCCGGGTGACGTGTCATGTGGAAACTGAGTGCAGAAGGGACGTGCTGATCCGGTTGGACACACTCTTTGATAAAGTAAAATTAGTATAAAACTGACATTACTTTCCTCCTTTTCTTTGTTCTTTATTTGCCAAAACTTAAGCTAACAGTGCCAGTAGAATTGTTGGTTGTAACATCAGAGCTGATCGTTTCACTGTTCTATATAAGTAATCTGAGTTGATGTGAATTAAAATTCGGACGCGAGTTTTATCTCATTTAACTTTGAAGCTTGTTATAGGAATAACCACAATCAAGTGTAACTTATGATCTGTTCAATTTGTGTAAATAAATGATTGCTTAGTCTTTATGAATCAACTTAAACTCGTCTGAACGTTCACTTATTGTGTCACTTTTCACTTCGCACAGTCAAGATTTTAAAAATAATGAGAAAATACCTTGGTAAAACTTTCCTCATAACCTTGTTTATGAGAGATGTAGGAACAGCTTAATTCACCCTAAGCTCCACCCCTACATTTGTAACAATAAAAACTCAAACTTTTATGTTTTGATTGTATACACTTTGAATAAATCTGCTTCATCCATTGATTGGGTTTGATATTTAATTAACTCAATTTAATTCAGTTTATTTATAGAGCAACAAGTCACAGCTTGTGTTGTCTCAGGGCATTGTACACACACAAAAAATAAACAATTTAAAGAAGCCAGCAGACTGTGATGAATCACTCCATCACAGTCTCACATCCTGAGCAGCACATTGGCGACAGTGGAGAGGAAAAACTCCCTTTGAACAAGAATCTGCAGGTTTTATATTGTTGCTGTTTTTAACTACAAAATGGACTATTGAGAGAGCACCGCGAAAAAAGCCAGGACACCCTGGACAGTATTTGTCCTTTGTGAATGTGTACATGGTTTTTGTTACCTTTCTAGGACCTTTTCTGGCATAAACATCCACCTTGTTGGAACCGTTATCCTTATCAAGACCAAATCCTAGTCCTAATCTGGAGGAATACCATTTTTATTTAAATCATAATAGTTCTAATTAATTGTAATTCATCTTTTTTGCACACAAAATTTAAGAAAATTTGAACTATTCCTATACCTGCACAAGTCTAAACATGTGAATCTGTGCATTTAAGGAAATGCTTCTTCGATTATGTTTGTGTTTGTTTGTTTTTACTACACAAAGTCACCTTTATTTTATGTATATGCTTAAAAATTGGCATAATTTGGCTGTTAAATCAATAAGATTTGTGTCATATCAGGAAATTGATTACATATTTCTGTTGAAAAATGAAACCCATCTCTTTCAGCCACAATCAAAAACAGAACATTCGTGTTTTATTTCACTTTTTGTTTTATAATACACACTTTTAATAAGGCATAAATAATACAACGAGTGCAACAGTTGTGTTGACGTCGAGTCACTGGGTCGGTTCAGCTCGTCTCCGCCGGTTAATCTCCACACACGGATCCACGACTGGAAGAAAAAGATGAGGACTTAGAGCAGAAAGACGACACAGATGCTTGAAACATGCAGCAGGATGTTTGTTCCCACCCGTGAGGTTGACAACGAAGGTTGTCGGCACACGGACAGTGATCCCGAGGACCCTCCTGATCCCAGGCCAGCATGTCCATCAGTAAGTTAGGGTGGCTCAGACAGGGGTCCCCCTTCACAGGTTTGGGGTTACAGACCGGAAACAGAAACTCTGTTGGAAGCAGATTTCAGTCATGGTTAAGAACCAGATATGAGTATAAAAAAATGAAGTGTTTTAGGAAACTATAATTTAAAATAAAATCTGCTTTTTGGAAGCGAAAGGACAGAATTGCACATACAGGGGTTGGACAATGAAACTGAAACAGCTGGTTTTAGAGCACAATAATTTATTAGTGTGGTGTAGGGCCTCCTTTTGCAGCCAATACAGCATCAGTTCGTCTTGGGAATGACATGTAAAAGTCCTGCACAGTCAGAGGGATTTTAAGCCATTCTTCTTACAGGATAGTGGCCAGGTCACTATGTGATGCTGGTGGAGGACTTGCTGACTCGCTCCTCCAAAACACCCCAAAGTGTCTCCATGATATTTAGATCTGGTGACTGTGCAGACCATGGGAGATGTTCAACGTCACTTTCATGTTCATCAAACCAATCTTTCACCAGTCTAGCTGTGTGTATTGGTGCATTGTCATCCTGATACACGACACCGCCTTCAGGATACAATGTTTGAACCATTGGATGCATATGGTCCTCCAGAATGGTTCGGCAGTCCTTGGCAGTGACACGCCCATCTAGCACAAGTATTGGGCCAAGGGAATGCCATAATATGGCAGCCCAAACCATCACTGATCCACCCCCATGCTTCACTCTGGGCATGCAACAGTCTGGGTGCGTCTTTGGGGCTTCTCCATATCGTAACTCTCCAGGATGTGGGGAAACCATACAAGTTTCATATTGTCCACAACCCAAGATGTGCGCTCCTTGCACCATTGAAACCGACGTTTAGCACGAATGACCAAAGGTTTGGCTACAGCAGCCCGGCTGTGTATGTTGACCCTGTGGAGCTCCCAGCAGACAGTTATGGTGGAAACAGGAGAGTTGAGGTGCTCATTTAATTCTGCCGTGGTTTTATGTTTTTTGGATACAATCTGGGTTAGCACCCGAACATCCCTTTCAGACAGCTTCCTCTTGCGTCCACAGTTAATCCTGTTGGATGTGGTTGGTCCTTCTTGGTGGTATGCTGACATTACCCTGGATACTGTGGCTCTTGATACATCACAAAGACTTGCTGTCTTGGTCACAGATGCACCAGTAAGACGTGCACCAACAATTTGTCCTCTTTTGAACTCTGGTATRTCACCCATAATGTTGTGTGCATTGTGATATTTTGAGCCAAACTGTGCTCTTACCCTGCTAATTGAACCTTCACACTCTGCTCTGACTGGTGCAATGTGCAATTAATGAAGATTGGCCACCAGGCTGGTCCAATTTAGACGTGAAACCTCCCACACTAAAATGACAGGTTTTTCTGTTTTATTGTCCAACCCCTGTAAGTGTTTATTGCCTTTAAAAAAACACGACAGGTTGAGGGACCTAGTCGAAAAAGAGAAGATTTTAGAAATAAAACCCGGTCTGTGATGCTGTCTCCAGCTCACCACGTTGGAAAGCGCAGCAGAGGTCCGGCCTGCAGTCGCCCTGACCCTGACAGATCGTCCCCTCGGTTCCTCTGGTGGCGTTCACGCTACACTGGCCCCAAACACACATCTGATCTGAGCAGCACTCCTCGTCCTTCGCGCACGGCTGTGTGGACAAACACAATCAGATATGCAAACATGTTATGTAAAAAACACAAACTGGTGCACACAACACCACAACTGTGCCTTTGTTTTAATGACACCACAGTAAAAACATGTCTGTAGGGCGTTTTTCTGTTTGCATACGTGATGTGTGATGTTACAGTTTAGACCCACAGAATAACAGCAGCAGAGACCTGTGCCCCCAGCTGTTTTTCATAAACATTTATCAGATCAAATATACAATATTCATTATGTGCTTTTATCCATTTTAGGTAAACAAACTCCTCCCTTTTTTAAAACTTAAGGCAAAAAAAATATTTGTAGTCATTTTTAAATATAATTAACTCAGAAAATATTTTCAAGACCCCACCTTGATGTTTCAGGATCCCACTGAAGGTCCCAACCCCAACTTTGGGAACCGCTGTTTTAGACGAGTCGTAGTTTTTTGCGTTCTAACTAACAAGTTGGTACAATGAAATGAAAGGAATTAAAGTAATAAATTAAGAAATAAATCTACATCTGAACTCTTTATATTCTGTTGTTCAGTTGCACAAAGTGCATTAGATCTGCACAGGGGCGGAGCCAAAGGGTGGCCAGGGAAATCTTTGACCACCACACCGCAGGATTAACTGAAGGATTATGGAGCTAAATTGGGGTCATAAGTTTTGTTCAAAAAAAATTAAAATTGAAAAAATATTTGAAACTGAAAAACAAATTTTAAACTGAAAAAACATTTGAAACTGAAAAACAACATAGTAGAATCTGGAAAAGTTTCAAACATCTTGTCTTTTCAGTTTCAACAATTTTTTTCAGTTTCAAATTATTTTTTCAGTTTCACATTTTTTTGCAGTTTCAAAATTATTTTTCTGTTTCAAATCTCCTTTTTTCAGTTTCAATTTTTTTATTTTAAACAAAACTTATGACCCCAATTTAGCTCCATAAAGGATCAACATGAAGTTGTTTTGAAGTTTGAAATAATCATAGACAACCCTGAGCTGTTCTACATACCTCCATGGAAATAATAATGTTTGGCGCCACCTGCTGGCCAACCTCTAACACTTCAGTTGCATGAAATAAAGACCATGAAAGATCTTTTCTGAATGTTTCATGAGCTCAAAGTGGTTTCAGCTCGAGTGACATCAGCAGTCAGAGAGGCTGCGGTGATTTGTGCGTCCTTGGTGGAGTTATCTCTGGTTTAGTTTGTCATCTCCTGAATGTGTAACTGAAGCAGAAACACAAAGAGCACCAGTGTTGGCCCATCTCTCACCATATCTGTTGGTATGCAGGGGAGGCACTTGGAGCTCTCCATCTCATACAGGCAGTAGTTCAGGTCCCCACAGTCCTCGTCCACCATGCATTCCTGCGGGGGGACAGATAACAGAGTTTAACACAACACCACCCAAAACAAAAAGATGTGTGGACAATAGATTTATAATTTAACTTCTATTAAGTTTGTCAGTCAGTTAAAAATAAGTACGTGTTGCTTCACAACAACAGTTTCACATCAGGATTAGATTGAGCCTTTCCTGATGAGAAACAACAAGAAGGACACGTTTATTCTGTCTTCACCCTGAGACACACACACACACACACACACACACACACACACAC